ACCACTATCAGAAATACTTAAAAAATTCAAAATATTTAGACTTGCTCAAAACAAATAAGTCAATCAAAAACTTCTCAAAAGAGTTAAAATCATCATGTTACAGGAATACAAACATTTATAGCAGCACAATTTACAACACCTAGATCTCTGAAACACATATATGTCCACTGACGCCTGAATGGCTAAGGAAAATGTGGTTTGTATACACAGTGCAGGATTACACTGCCATAAAGACAGATAAACTTGAGGCATTCATGGGAAAGAGGGTGAAACTAGAGAATATAATGTTAAATGAAGTAAGTCAGACACACAAGCTCAACTATCAGATAGTTTGTTTTACATGATAAGAAAATATTTGCACATAAATATATACAAAAAGAGCAAAATAGGAGAGAAAAAGTTTAAATACCTCCTGAAATTACTTATTTCACTGTGTTAAAAAATATTTTCATATATATGCTAGTTTGTTTCCTTTATACTACCTTTATGTTAGATCTCTGAAAAGTTTTATTACTCTTTCTTCTAAGAATTTTTTGGTTCATATCTTATACTATAAGTAACTACTTCAAAGATAATGATATACAGTATATTAAATATTTGGATTTCCTTAAACATTTGTTATGAAATTTTGTTTTATTTTTTCATAAAATAAAGTTAATGCCTGTCTCAGTTACTTTTTTTTTTGTTGCTGGGACAGATACCCGACACCAAAAATGAAGGAAAGAAAGGTTTATTTATCTCACAGTTACTGTAGGTTTCAGTCCATAAAGGCAGAGCAGCACATGGCAGAAGGCAGCAGTTCATGAGAGCAGAAAACAGCAAGAGCAGGAGCAAATGGCAGGCACAGCGGCAACAAAGGCTACAGAGAGCAAGTCTGTGTCTCTGTCTGTCTTATGTTACCTTCAGGCTATCCACCCCAGGCAGGGGTTAGCACTCAGACCCACAATCCCAGCAGCATTCAGACCCATAATCCCAGCCTTGTATCATGAGTTAATCACAAGCTCTACAAGTCCACCCGTGACTGTATGAGGCATTGAGGGGGACAACTAGACACAAGCCATAACAATGCCCAATTTCTCCATAAGACATCTGAAGAAAAAGTTAAAGCTCTTTTCCTTTCTGGGTTTTCCTAGTAAGACCTTAAGAGTCTTGATTTCTACTTGGTCTTTGAAATTCCAGGCGATGATAGGTTTCTCACATATCCTTTTCAGTCTTCACCTCTACCACAGTACACATCCACTAGATCCTGTGGTTTAGGCTGTGCTGGGTAGGAAAAGGGCATCTGCATGGGGCACAAACGAAGTGCTAGCAGGTTTGAAAGTAACCCAGAGCTCTCAACAAAATCCACTTTTAAATGGGCAAATGATTCATACAGAAATTTCACCAAAGATCTAGTGAATCTCTATTTTTTAAGACATTTATTCATCTCACACAAGTTCTATAAACCAGGAATTTTTCTTTTCTTTTTTGTATTTAGGTCAGGGTGGATAGGGTATACAGGGTGGATAGGGTGTAGAGGGTCTCATTGCA